GTATTGGTGAAGAGTGAAGTAGCCTGTTTATTGGCTGTTGACTAAAGACAGTATTGTCATTATATAAATGTTTATATATAAAAAGTAGGAAAGAAAGAATTCTGGTTTTGCATGAAGTTTGCCCTAGCTCTTTCTTGGACTTTCCATTTCACAAGGAATGGGTCGCTTCACATCTCCTGAGCCTCAGTACTAATGTTTATAGACGGTGGTAATACTGGTTGCTAGAGAAGTGTTACAGGGTGAAGTTTTGGGGTGTTTTTCCCTCAAGCTCATGTCTTATGGCTAATAATGAAGCTAGATATCATGTAAATTTCTACTTCAGTAATGACACCTGCTTTTGTTTGTACTAAGGGATAAATCATGGTCCTGTGATTGCTGGTGTGATTGGTGCCCGGAAACCTCAGTATGATATTTGGGGCAACACTGTTAATGTTGCAAGCCGCATGGAGAGTACAGGGGAACTTGGGAAAATCCAGGTAAACACATCTGCCTTGGAATGTCTAAGAAATTTTTTTCTAATTGGTTATAATTTTTTTTTTTAAATTTGAATAATCAGAAGAATTTAATGAGTTTCTAATTCTTTTCACACAAAGGTCACAGAAGAAACAAGCAAAATACTACAGGAGTTGGGATATTCTTGTGAATGTCGGGGACTCATCAATGTCAAAGGCAAGGGGGAACTGAGGACTTACTTTGTTTGCACTGAGACTGCCAAATTCCAAGGTATGGGACTGAACTGAGGCTACGAGGAAGTTAATCAAAACAGACTTAGAACTGCCTCCCTTCTGTGAAGTCTTAGAATTTCCCTCCTTATGTGAAGGACTTTATTCTAAAAACATATATATACTATTCCTATTTCTTATACATCTCAAGATAAGAGAATTTTTTTTTGAAAGAAGTTCTGAAAAGTTAAAAGACATGTAACCACCAGTCTGAGAAAGACTACCTTTTCCTGAAGGAATTTGAGGGCTTACCTGGAATTGCCATAAAGCATTTTCAGGTAGTTCCTTTCCTTACCTGTACTGTGGGAGTCTTCACAGCTCCAGAAGATGCACTGTAGAACTCATTACCACGCTAGAACATTCCACTGCTTCATTCTTTGACACACACCTGCTGACAGTATTGCGTTTGTCACAGACGTGAGATGATACTCTGGGCACTGCATGTCCTGCTTGAATGCTGAACAGACTTCACAGCAGAAAACGGCTGAATAATGGGAAGAGGAATGCAAGTATGCTCAAATCTATCATGATAATTGTGATGAGCTCCTCTGGGGGGAAAAAAAAGTGAAGTGCACGGTATCGGATCACTTGTTATTATCTTCGCCTCCTCCTTAGTAGTACCTTGTATTATGCAAATGTTTCCTGACCCACAGCTGTTCAGAAATAATTTTCATCTAGTCCAAGAGTGTTTACATTGTATTACGTGTTCTCCTTTGTATTTCTGTACCTCTGTATTCAGTGTCTGCATGCACATTTTATACGGTCGCATAAGAGAATGTCTTTAAAATTCTGGGTTTAAAGTTTCAAAAACCATTCCTGACCTTGAGGAGCACAGAGCACCTGCAGTTCATCCTGCGTGCTTGGTTAGACAGGCTCTGCTAACAGCTTGTGTCGCTGACACCCTGCCGGAGTTCTGCGTGCTGACTGCATTCTGGAGGGCACTTACGGAAGAAAAAATAATCTGTTTTGAACTGTTGGGAAACTGAAGAAGAGAACTAATGAGATAGTATTAGAAACAGTAGCAGATACTGTATGAACAGATCTGCATCTGAGGTGGGTTTGGGGTTGGATTTTCTATTTTTGTTTCTTCAATTTGACAAGCCACGGGCTGGCTTGTATACCTTTTAAAGGCAATGCAGTTTATGAAACAAATTGGTTTGGAAGACTACAAAAGGATGTATGGAAAAACATATTCATAATGGAAATATTTCAGCAGAGCCTCAATACGGGAAGTACCTGTAGAGCATTAGTAAGATCATGGAAATTGACTTGCTGTAAGTTTGTTTAGTTTGTAAAGTTGTTAAGCTGTTAATGGGTTTTGCTAATTCATAAATTAGCATTTTTCTATTTATTGCAATCACTTAATCTGTTTTCTGTTGGTGGAGATGATAGTATTTTGTAAGGCTAGCATCTTGTGCCCAATTAGATGTATTAACTACAGATGTATTACCCCCTCCCTGCAGTACGACTAAACAGCACAGCGATTAACGAGTTCACCATCTCTTTTGTAAAGCCTTACTCTTCTACAAACAAAGCAGCATGTACTCGTATTTCTGGGTTTAGTACTAAACCATACTGGAAAAGTGTTTAACAAGCATCACTGCCGCTTTCTAATTACTGTGTAATTTCTTTAGAAGATGAAGTGACTATGTTTCAAGACCGGAACAAATCTGCATATGGTCCAGCCGTGGATTAAAAATTGTGCTCATAGCCTGTGTCAATTTGGTAGGTCAAAACTGTGTTTGTAGTAAGTCTCCAACAGAAAATAGCACATGAGAGAACCTTAGTGTGGGGTTGTCTGGTTCTCGTGTGGACTCTGCTGATGTAGGAAGTTTCATACTTGGTGTCTTGTCAGTATAAGGTCAGTGTTGTAGGTGAATAAACTTTCAGACAGCTTTTGCTACTCTTGTATGTTGTATATGTGTAGTAAGAGATGCTCAGCAAGCATTTGTTTTGAGATATTTATTTATTGTTTTATAAGGACCATGCATGTGTCAAAGGCTCCTTTCAGCAGTCTTTGACGTCTTATGTTGGGTAAAGTGACTATTTGCCTCATGAATATGTGTTGAGGAGTGCGTTGTGCCTATAGATAGAGCTGGCTCTGAGGTGTTTCTGTTCACAGAACTAGTAGAATGTAGATGTAAGTTACCTACGAAAGAAAATTCGCTGTAACAGAGTTTTGAAATGCTTTTGTTTACATTATATTGCCTGTCAGGCTAGTAACTCGCTTGGGCATAACTTCAATTTAACCTCATTCACAGAAGTGGTGTGAAGAGCTGTAGCTTTCCAACTGGAAGAACTCGGTTTTTGTTGCAGGTTTGAAAGGCCGTTGTGCACTTATGCAGCTCACACGATGCTGGGGTACCTGCACGGCATGCTTAGATGTTAGGAACTGTGTGTAATGAAAAAGGGGTTGTATCTGAGGATGATGTTCAATAACTTCTCATCAGAACTGGACCTGTACAGCATGAGAGCGAAGTTCAGTTTAAGAAGCAGCTGTATTTAAATACTGGTTTTCAGCAGTCCTTTTGAGAGCGAACTGTGAAATTTAAGATTGAGGAAATAACCTTGTTAGAAAATCTTCCTTACAGCATTATTGTTTTCTTAAACTGAAAAAATGGCACTGTATCCATTTGAAGAGCTATTAATGTCTTGAATTAGCAATGTTTTAAAGAACAAACTTATGTTTTTACTATTAAATAAAAAACTTCCTGAAACTTGTTTTGTTTTGCAATTATTTTGATGCAGATTTCCATGAAAAGGAGGTGTATTTCTTATACCTCTGTAGAGTTAATGGGATTGTTTTTACTCATGAACTATTTGTATTAAAAAAAATGTGCAAGTGGAAAACAGGTAGAGTGACATACTTGAGTTCACCAGCTAAAGAGTAATTTCAGTACTCCGTTTTCTGTCATCTGTGGCCTTCTGCTGCACTATATGAAATGTAAGTGGTGGGAGATGAGATGCTGGAGAGTGAGCCAGTAAGGCTTTGGCTGCACAGTTGTTGGGCATCTTGTCTTCTCTTGTAGCATGAAAATGACGTAAATATTAATGGAGAAATTCATTCCCTGGTGTAATATTTCAGCTGCAATTACCTAAAACTGTGAGAAAATTCTAGTGGCAGCTTTATTAAGAACTATTCAGGGACAATTGACTCTACTGGAGAGAAATCCAGGGTGACAGTTGAACCTTTTTGGAATTAATTTTAAGAATTGTGAAAGTTTTAAAACAAACACTTCTGCAGCTGTTTTTGGAGAGGAGGAAGGAAGGGCGTGTAAGGCCGTAAGACCGGGGGTAGAGGGTGGAATTCACAGTTATGCTTTGCCTTTCACTTACCTTTTTGTTTCAGGTCTGTGCCGTGGTGCACATGAGCAACTGCTCATCAGATGGAGTTGAAATGCTGCCTGTCATTCCTGTCAGAGTCCAAGGTTACACGGGAACCATGGGGTAAAAATACTTCTGGATGGCTGTGGTAGAACCCATGCCCAGCACTGTCTGACGGTGCGACTGTAACTGAGGAGCAGGGGGAGGAGCCTGCTTCAAGAGTCACTGCCTCTGTCTAGTATACTGCAAAGGTGCTTGAATTCTACTCCGTGCCTGAAAGCTGCACTGTCAGACTGCTTTCCCTGCACTTTTTGGGAATAGGGAGCTGATGTTTGATGCTAGAACTTTCCTAATATATGCTCTCCTTTCTGCTAAGCAAGCCCAAAATCATTATCCAGATAGTGTTTAGTAATACCACCCAGCAGTAAGAAGAATTGTATGTGTATCACAGTTGCCTGTACAATGCTAATGTATTTTTACTTACTGACAGCAAGAGGGTTTGTTAGTCTCCCCGTATCATCGTGGTACGTTTCTAAGCCTGGCCTCGAGTTTTAGAACACTATGAGCAGATGGTGTTTTTTCTCATCCACATTAAAAGTCTCATAGAGCTGATCTTCTGTTAATTCATCAGGCTATGTCAGTTTTTATTTAAAGTTTATTTCTCTTCCTCATTATAAGAGTTGCACAGGAATTTTAAAAAGGGAAATGTGCATGTTCAGATACTGATTTTTGCCCCAGATTCAGTCTATACACTGCTTGTAGAAAGTTTTGGTTGAGTCCCTGCACCACATATAGGCACCTTTTCACTTATGCTTTGACTTTTCCAGACACTTTGGAGTCTAGGAAAACTTGAAATGCTGCAGAGGGGCTTTAAAATAATAAGGAATGCAAACAGAGTAATTTAGTGCATTTATGTAGCAGAAGTAACTCTAATGACACTTTGAATGGTTTGTATTAGTTCCAAAATTTAATAAACAAAAGTAGTTTAACACACAATATACACATGCTCGGTGAATGCACCGGAAGGAAGTTTATCTGGTTCTTAAATAGAATCAAACAAACAGCTGTAAACGTAACCGAAGCTTCAGACTGTAACTGGACCACACTCATTTTCAGGGATGGTGACAGTCTTCTTAGGATCTTGAAGGTCTGAAAGTTTACAACAGAGAGCAGGTCACTGAGTATTTATAACTTTTCAATGGAAGAAATGCAATACAGTGGAGTACTCCTGAAGGCATTTGCTATTTGTGCAGGGAGTGCTGAGTTAGCTGTATGCTCCCTAACAGCCCAAGAAAACACCATGTTTCCGTGGGTTCCGTTACATAGCCTCTCTTGTACAGTGCTATCAAAAAGAAACTGCTCAACAATGTTGAAACTGAGATTTCTTGAGCAGTTTCCTTGGAAAGTAAGTTCCTGAAGTAATCCTGCTCTTTCATTAAATAACATCTTAACAGAAACTTTTTATAGTTTTACAGACTGAGTAAATTTGTTGTGTGAATTACGTTACTTGAAAGAAAATTCCTACCTGTCTTAAAAACTGTGGACGAACACAAACTCTGAGTTTGCTTTTACAGTTTATGTGCCACAAGGGGGAGGTCTGGTTCCAGCACTCAGATTTTCCACTGACCTGACTCCTTAATCCAGCAGAACAGTAGTTACTTTTGGCTGGATGAGCTGAGTTAACTGATGCTGTCAATTTACACAGCAGTACAGCTGGCCAAATGAAGCAGACGCAGTGCACAGCCAAAAGCTTACAGAAGAAGGAAGCATGATGTCCTCATTTTAGCAAGTGAGGAATTTTAACTCAACTCTTAGAACTTCACGCTAAATGGAAAAACTAAAATGGAATGGATTGCCAAGCTTTAAAATCTGGCAATACTATAAAATGAATGGTAAAATAACTACATAGCTGAACCAAATGGACGTTCCATACGTCCAAAAGATTAATTTTGGGTTGAGACCAAACACAGCAACTTTCCATTAGAAACAGAATTTTTAAAAGGAGAGAAGTGAAAGCTGGAACTAAGTTACTGCAAATTCTACCACAAGGCAGTCTAATGATTTGCAGATGTGGTTTTGTTTTAGTGGAACAGACGGTACGATACATTTTTGTGTACTTACCCTCTGTCAAATCTACCCAGCTGTCTTCTGTATCAGGGCAAGGAACTGAAATTCCCATTGCTTTCCGGATCCCGTACGTACTAACAATATCACCTGGAGTCACTTGTTGGGCAAGTTCTTTCAGGTTATTGGTTACTCTCTCCGCTAGAAAAGATAAGTGGATGTATTTATATGCTACGTATACACACAACATCGCTGAAATGAGCCCTTCACCCTGTAAAAAGTTGAATTAAGTACAAATGGAACTATGGTAAATAATGCTTCTACAACAGAAGAGTTTTGTTGTACTGTGTGCAACCATGCAAGGCATACTGGGAACTAAAAGAGATGGTTAAGAGTAACAGGAGGAATGAAATAGCTGCTGACCAAGCCTTGCTGCCATCAAGAAATGCCAAAAGTTTAAAAGTAAGCTAATGATGCTTGGGTCACACTAACGCACCAGCCGGGAGACATGTGGTGGCAGCCCCGTAGCAGTTGTGTTGGTAATGTCTGGCTGTCAGGATTCAGCAGCTAGTTTCTGTATAAACTAGAGAGACTGTTCTCGTTGCTGCAAATGTGGTTTTCTTTCAAGAAGGAAGCTGTAAGTACTTCAACTTTCCAAGAAAATTTATATTTGGTCTGGTTTAGACTTGGTATAATACCAACTTGGTAATATTTCTGCAATAATGTGGAATTTATCTTACACATCGAGGTGGTTATTTTAGACCATGTATGCTGTGGTTGATATTGCACAAGTTCGTTTTACTTGCAAAACAGACACCCTCTGCACCCAGTCCTATCTGCGGAGGCTGCCATTAACACAAGCTCTGTAACTGACCTGGGAGTCAATAATAACTAAAGAATGAATGATTAGTATTAATTCGTACAATAAAATAGACTGGAGAAAGCTCCCACTTAGTTCTGGGGAAATTTGATTAATAAGGAGGAAATATTTGCAGTTACTGTTCAAAACTTTCATCTGGCTTTACATACAAAAAATTAAATTAATCTTCTAAGCTTAACCGGGCAGGTATTCTGCACTTTAACTGCTAAACCTTGGGACTTGATCAGTTCTGCAAGAATGATCAGAGAAAGTGTATTTACCCAAGTGCATCTCTCTGTAAGACGGACCCAGGAGACAAATCATGTTCGGGGGTGGTTTTGTACTTAGTCGTTCATTCTGAGCATCCTGGAGTTCTCTCAGAAGCTTTGTTGTTTCATCAAGTTTCCTCTGGAAGATTTCAGCCTCTGTTTGATGAAGAAAGGAAAGTCCTAACTAGTCAGGGAGTATATTTACTGATGTTATGATATAAAATAGGGTAAGGCTGACTATGCGAAGGGATTGAGAAATTCAAACAGCTGCAGACAGCTCACAAGCGCAAGCACCAAGAAAACTCACCCTCGGAATCAAACTCTTCTACGGGCATGCCGAAGTTTGTAACTGCTTTTAGTGCTGTAAGTCTGTCGTTATGGGCAGAGTCCAACCTGGCAGCAATATCAATTTCCATAAGCTAAAAAAAAGGCAGCAAGTAATAATTTAGATAATATTTAGATCAGCCTTGAAACAAAAAAATTTGCTTGGGGAAAATCAGAACACTAAGTTAGTTAAATTTAGTCTGCTCTACCAAAAAAGTGACTGTGTAGAGGGAAAGCTGAAAAGATACCCTGTGAAACTTTTACTGCTGTTCAACAGTGACTAAGTTTACTGTTCTATTTCATATTCAAATAACAAGTGGCACCTGCTGGAAACACTGGGGATATGCACAAATGATGCAGTAACTGAAGACCACCATCCCAATTAAAAAAAAAAGATCCTTATGCTTCCCTAAACCAGAGTTAGATCTGAAGCCAAAATTCAAAACCCACCTGGGAAGTGGCTGCAGGTGAAGGCTTCAGGAGAGCAGCCCTTTCCCTAGAACTGCTGCTACGCTGCTTCTAACTGAACAAAGTCTGGGTGGAATGATTTTAGAGATACATTGTATGCCTATAGGGGCACAAGGTATTTGTATCATGTGATATTTTAGACTTTGTAATCCAAGATCATGTTAAACCAAATCAGATTAAGATAGGAATAAAACAATTATAGCTGCCAACCAGAAGATCCAATGCATAACTGAACAATCACAAGCAAAAATATAGAAGCATTTTCTTCCAGTTCTCTTAACATATAGTCTTTTTTAAGACTTAACTTTCTGGAGATTCCTACTCTCCAAATGCCTACAGAATAGCACGCCACTCAGTCACACAGGGTGTAGCTACAGCTTGTCAGAGTCACACCGTGTATTCACAGCTTGTCAAAGTCTCAGGGTAGCTGCACGGGCCTTACAGCTGGAGGCAGTTTTGTAACTGCGGGGTTAGACAGCTTGGTTAGAGTAGTTAATGGATACAAAAGAATTTTACCTTTACATCTTTTATTGCCTCGCTTCTTTCATGGGGCCCTTCAGCTTCCTCCAATGGCTGAATAGATTTTTAAAGAAGACATTAAAATTAATCCTCAAGTTCAAAGTAAAGCTTAAAAAATGCACTATTTTTAAAGTAAGGTAAGTATTCAAAGTCATAATGAGCTTTCTCTGTAAAGCAAGTTACAAAGTGGCTATTTCTAAAGGGCCTTCTTCAGTAGTTTACTAAAATACATTTATAAAGCACACATTTTATTGCGCTTTGCAAAGTCCACATGCTTTTCCCCAGTGATGTCACATCAGAGATTACTTACGGGGGGCAGGAAGAAAAGGCAGGAAGATTATCAGAGGCTGAAACGTATTCTGTCTTATAACTGTATTGCTCCTAACCCTTGGAACAGCAGTGGTTGAACCCTGTTAAGTCAGTGCCACTATTGGGTACGAGAAGAGAGCTAAACTAGTAATGCCAAGCAAATGTTTGAACTGGGGCTAAAAGTTGATCTTTGATCCATGAACTATTTCTAGTATTAATTTAGCTAATATTTGACCCATTAGTTAAAAGGTTATGATCTGTTTATTTCAGTAGTTTACACTGACGTGACACTTGCATCAAGACTTTTAGTTAACAGGAACCATGTTGGGGAGATCCTCAACTAATTCTTGGATTGTCAGTGAAGTTAAGATCGCCAAATCAGCTCTTTTGATTCCGGTCATGTCTGGCATATACATGTACTGAAATCTCCTAAGAATTTCAAGAGTAGCTGTCTAGTATTTTTTACACAGCATGTATCTGAGTTTAAAAGCAGTGCATGAAGTAAAGGGATAAACTAGTTACTAATTCTCCTGAACTAAACAATGGCTGCTAGGAACACGATAAACTTTTCATGAAACACGAAAGCCCACCCATGATCCCCTAATTTCTGAACAAATGCTTATTGATTATTTTCTTACTGAATAGAAGAGGAGCTAATGCTAATGGGAGTGAGACAGCAGACA